TAAGTACTTTTGGGCGGATGCGGTGAGTACTAGTGCTTATATTCTCAATCGTGCGATTATAAGACCTACACTTAACGCTACTCCGTACGAATTGTATAAAGGTAGAAAGCCTAATCTCTCGCATCTTCACGTTTTTGGTTGTAAATGTTTTGTTTTAAATAATGGCAAAGACAACTTAGGACCTTTTGATGCCAAGTCAAATGAAGCAATTTTTATAGGATACTCTTTGACTGGTAAAGCTTTTAGAGTTTTCAACAAACGTACTTTAGTTGTTGAAGAATCTGTGCATGTTGTATTTGATGAGAATAATGCTCGCTTGTCGAGAAGGGTACCTTGTGATGATCTTGCAGGCTCCCTTGAGAAAATACATCTTGAAGAAGGTGAGTCTAGTAAAGCAAAATCTGAAAAACAAGAATAGGAAGTAAGGGAAAGTGAGAACAATAAAGATGAGCATGTAGCAAATGAGTTACCACCCAAATGGAGAACTTCAAGACATCATCCACTCGACAATGTTATCGGTGAAATCTAAAAAGGGGTAACTACTCGTAGCTCATTACGTAATTTAGTTAATCATATGGCTTTTGTTTCTCAAATAGAACCCTCTACCATTGATGATGCCATTAATGATGAATACTGGACTATGGCCATGCATGAAGAGTTGGATCAATTCAAACGTAATGACGTTTGGGAGCTTGTGCCTAGACCACGTAATCATTCTATTATTGGTACTAAATGGGTTTTCAAAAACAAACTCGACGAAAACGGTATTATCACTAGAAACAAAGCTAGGCTTGTGGCTAAAGGCTACAATCAACAAGAAGGAATTGACTTTGATGAGACCTATGCACCCGTAGCGAGATTAGAAGCAATTAGATTACTTCTTGCGTATGCCGCTACTATGAACTTTAAATTGCACCAAATGGATGTCAAAAGTGCTTTCTTGAATGGTTTTATTCAAGAAAAAGTGTATGTCGAACAACCTCTAGGATTTGAGGACTTTGAGTACCCAAATCACGTGTTCAAACTGAAAAAGGCTCTATACGGACCTAAACAAGCCCCAAGAGCTTGGTATGAATGTTTGAGTTCGCATCTCTTGGAGAATGGATTTCAAAGAGGAAAGGTAGACACCACACTTTTTATTAAGCATAATGCTCTTGACATGCTTTTAGTACAAATCTATGTTGATGACATTGTTTTTGGTGCTACTAATGATCTTATGTGTGAGGAATTTACTAAGATTATGCAAGGAGAGTTCGAAATGTCAATGATGGGAGAATTAAATTTCTTCCTCGGTCTTCAAATTCGACAACTTGAACATGGGACATTTCTTAGCCAAACGAAGTACTCAAAAGAACTTCTCAAGAAATTTGAGATGGAAGATTGTAAAGAAATGGCTACCCCAATGAGCTCTCAATGTTCACTTGATAAAGATGAAAGTGGTAAGTCGGTTGATGTCAAACGATATCGAGGTATGATCGGTTCATTATTATATTTAACCGCTAGTAGACCTGATATTATGTTTAGTGTGTGTATGTGTGCTAGATATCAAGCAAACCTTAAGGAATCACATTTGACTGCTGTCAAACGTATCCTTAAGTATGTGAGAGGTACCTTGACTATGGGACTGTGGTATCCCAAAGGTTCAACATGTACTCTCATTGGGTATTCTGATTCCGACTTTGCCGGGTGCAAAATGGATAGAAAAAGTACTAGTGGAACCTGTCATCTTTTTGGATGTTCACTTGTTTCTTGGTTTAGTAAGAAACAAGTTAGTGTTGCTTTGTCCACCGCCCAGATTCTTTGGATGAAACAACAACTTTTGGATTATGGCCTTGTACTTGATCATATTCCTTTGAGATGTGATAATATGAGTGCTATAAACATTACGAAGAATCCAGTTCATCACTCTCGTACAAAGCATATTGATATACGACATCACTTTATTAGAGACCATGTCCAAAAGGGTGATGTAGACATTGAATTTGTCGATACAACTAATCAGTTGGCCGACATTTTTACTAAACCTTTGGATCGTGAGAATTTTTGTCGTATTAGAAATGCCTTAGGAATTATTGCCATTACTTAAGTTAATATTTTTATTTTTTTATTATTTATTCTATTTAATTTTATACTAACTTAGGCATCAGAGTGGCCTTAATTCTTTTTTGCAGGTTCTCACCCATCCACTCCTTTTTCTCAATCCATATGAAGCATTTATTGAGGGCGAATTCTAATTTGACTTTAGCTTTTTGAAGATTTTCAAAGGACTGCTCAGCTACAGCGTTTTATTTGAATAGTTTGGGAAACTAATCGAACAAGTTTGTTGCTTAAAAATTCCAGTGTCGCGGCTCAACATTATTTATTCGAATAAGTGAGGCCCTATTCGAATAAATGAGATCAGATATGATATTTTTAAAAGGTCTTCATTCGGTCAAAGCTTCTATCTCTCACAAAAACCCAATCGCGTCTCTCTCTCTCAGCGACGAACCCTAGGTCGCAGTTCTTCATCTTCTCTGGCGTCTCATCACCTCCTTTGCCACTTCTCCTACCGGAATTCATGGCTTCTCGCACCAAGAAGAGGACTTCAAGGCCTTCTACTCAAGCTACTCATCCGGGCTCCTCTTCTCAACCTCCTACTTCAAACGAAAATCAAAGGTTCGAATTTGCTCTCAACCCTAGAATTTTCTTTGATAGTGAAGAAGCTTTGAATTTCTATTGTGACAATGTACTTCCCCGGAAAATTATCACCCCCCGTTATGTTGAACTTGTTGATTTTGAGCGAGATACTTCTTATGAACCAGTTTTGTCTAAGCTTCGTTCTTCGGGGTTGATAAATGTTGTGACAATTCATGAATCTCATATCCCGGTTAATTCTATTAAAGCTTTCTACTCCGATATGACTTTCAAGCGTAGAAATCATCAATATGTGATTATTTCTATGTTTTGGCATGGAGAATAGTAACAAGGAGCTCACTACCCAAAATAATGATCAAAACCCGTGGTATAATTTTGATGAACAAAGTGTTGGGAAGTGATGAATTTTCGACCCAAATTTAATGAATCTGGACGGCCCAAGGTGAATGGAATGCAACCTCCTCAAAGCCTCATTCAATATATTTCCTCCTATATCCTGTGTGGGCGCTCGGGCAATCACCCTCAAATGAGCAAAGACGATGCCATGCTTATCTATGCAATCTTGAAGCCGGTGTCTATCAATTGGGGGAAGTACATCTTGACATACATGAACTTGTGCCGGGCAAAGAAAAAATCTCTATCGTACCCCATGCTTCTCACCTATCTTTTGAAAAGGAAGGGATTTGAATTTGTGAATGCCGAGATGGATAGTGAAACTCCTTTTTGGAGGATCAAGAGGTCAACAGTAATGAGAACCAAGCTTGATGGTGAAGATGAAGCACGTGCAGAAACCGGAACTTCTCAGTCACGTGTGGCTTCCCGGGGTCACAAGGTCACATTGCCTATGCTTTTTGAGTCCCTGCAAAGCCTCCAATCCTCCTTCAACAACATCCAGCTCCAACAGGCCACTTGCGGTTATAACTTGAATAAGATGTTGGTCAAGAGTGGAGAGCAATGGGAAACACCATCCTTGGAAGCGCTCGCACCTTACATGCCTCAGGGTTCTTCTTCTCATGCCGCTCCTTCTGATGCTGATGGTGATGCAGACGATGAGGATGATGACGAGGAGGATGCTATTGAACAAGACGATGCGACCATGGATGAGGAATGAGTGGATTGGGAACTCATTTTCTAGCATTAACTATGTTAACTTATGCCTTACTTATTGACTCTATCTTTTGCATAACCCCTTGTGTTTTTTATTATGACTTTGACTTTTTCTGTGATTTTTCCTTTCCTTTTTTTTGCTTATGACAAAAGGGGGAAGTGTGGGTATTGCTTGTGCTTGGTCAAGTGCACACAAACAGGGGGAAGTTGCTTTCTTGAACTTTTTCTAATGATTAATTAGTTGCATGTTTGCTTGTATCTTGTGTGTGTGTTTCATTTGTTGAGAGACAGGAAACCTTGTGATTTGAGTCCAAGCACTTGTTGTTAATTTGGGTTTGTCATTATCAAAAAGGGGGAAATGGTTGACCCTTGTGTTTTGATAATGACAACCATGCATATGGGATGAGCTTTGGATTTGGATCTTTTCATGTGGATTGCCTAGCACGTTGCTTAGAGATTCAAGACAAGATTTGAAGATTAAAGGTTTTCTAGATTTTTTATTTCTTTTGAGTCTTAGTTCATGTTAAAGTGTTTGGCACATCTTTATTCTTCAAATACTTTGTTTTTCCTACAAGAATTTCTCTTTGATTGTTTTCAAAACCCTTTCTCAAAACCTTTCTTCATAAATGTTTCTCCCCAGGTTTTTATTCGAATAAATCAAGATTTATTCGAATAAGAAGGACTCCTGCAGATTGCAGCTCGGTCTGTTTTAATCGAATAAATGGTTATTTATTCGAATAAGTAGCTTCCCAGAATTTCAGTTCACCCTGGTTTATTCGAATAAATCTAAGATTCATTCGAATAGGAACTGCGTTTTCTAAATTCCTGTTTTATCAAAACTATTCAAATAAATGGTGTTTTAGTCGAATAAATCGACAGTTTTCACAACTAACGGTTAGTTTTTAAATTCCCGTGGAGGTTTCTTCGGCCCTATCCATATATACTCAATCTAATTTAATTTTTCAATATACAAGAACATACAAGAACCTTTAAG